CAACCTGGTTTTGATTTTGTTGAGTATATTATAGTTTGGAAAAGTGTAAATTTGGTAAAATTAAATGTCACTTCAGAAATTGATCTAAACTCTGCTCATAGGCATCAAATAGGATGACCAGCGATTTGGACATTTGGTGTCTATCTCTCCTGTTTATATGTCTACTCGTTTTTGCATTTTAAGTTCGTATTTTCTTGTTTCTTATATGTTCTTTTAACAGTGAGATTGTTTATTGGGTTCAACTTGAATTTACACGTGTGTGATTTGGAAAATTTTCCTCGTTCTCAGTTATTTTCTGCTTGCGGAGAAATTGTGGAAATCCGTACAACGAGGTTCAAGGAAGGCAATTTAAAGGTAAACTAGTATGCTAATTCATGTTCTCTATTGGATGATGATTATCATCTCGAATTACCCACTTTTCCCCGTATTCATCCACGTAAAGATGTAAATAAGCGTTTCACGCACGCAAATACACCGATACACAGACATAATGGCATAATCATCTAACATCTGCCATTATATTTATGATTTTTTTTCATAGGGATTCTGCTTTGTTAGGTTCGCAACAAAAGAATCTGCTGCCAGAGCTGTGAGGGAATTATCTGGCACTGTGGTCAGTAATCATGTTAATTCCTAAGGAAATTTACTTTTCACAAATTATCTAATTCTCGAAACTAGTTAGCTTCTTTAGCCTCTCTGAAAATTTGTCATTTTTCTTTCACTTAATTTTTTCCATTTTTTTTATCTGAATTTAATCTCATTCCAACAGAATATTTGAATCATTTTTAAGGGAATTTCATATTTCTCTTGGAAGGTTATTAATACAATATGATATTAGTACTATATACTGAAAGGCTGTTCAACCCTGTTATTGTGGAAGGAAATGCTTAATATTGGATAATTTATACTACGCGCTTTTACGAAGAGGAGTTAAACTGAGTTTTGAGCAGTTTTATTTTAAATTTTTTATGCTTACGTCTGATTGTCTTTAACTGCTAGATTCTAATGTCACATTAGCATACTGTTTGATTCTTGTTTTTGTCGTCTTCATGTTCAGATGGAGGGGAAGAAGATTGTTGTTCGTCTATCAAGTGAGCAAGATACTTTATATCTTGGGAACCTCGACAAAGGTTTGTTTCCTTGTGCTCTGTACTATCAGATAGTAACTTTGTGCCCATGCCCAAATATGCCTGTAAGGTGGACCAAATATTGCTTTTTTAGAATCATACACTAATATTATTGTCCATATGGAGCTGGGTAATTCTGCCAATGATATATCTTCACTTGGTTACATGACCAAGAGATGTGTAGTTAGGATGTTGTTAATGAATGTAGCTTTTATCACCTTAATATAAGGCTTCGTAATTTTACTTTTTGTCTGCCAATTTATCTACTTTTCTTTTGTCAGTCAGTTCAGGTCAAATCTAAGAATATAGGCAG